TTTTTAATTTTTTTTTTCAAAAAAAACCCCACAATGCTAGCACTCAGCCTCTGAATTAGCCACGGGCGAAAACATGGAACGTAAAGCGGCACTTAAACTCACTCAGAACTCCCTTATTACTTATCCTAGATGGACAACCAACCACTGGTTTTTGGTGTCCTGGAGACACTGAATCTAACGGTGCCCACCTCAACACTCAGTGATAAACATTCGCGACGCTATAAACGAAAGCGTACATCATAACATGTGGAGCTAAGTTGCTAAAAACGCTAACATGGCTTACCTTGGTCAAAAGTGGTCTTCAATGGCATTAAAACGATAAAAAAACGGAGTTAATGGTTAAACTGGAGTTAATCCATAGGGTCATCCTATGTGTCTGTGCCTTCTTTGAAATTATTTCTGATAATCCATAATCAATAAAACTGCTTTTTAGTTTATAAATTCCAGAAGGAGACATTAATCCAATATGCTTTCGATTTCTACACGCGAAGCCCCCACCTTTTCTCTTTACAACGTGTGTGTATGTGGGCCTCCCCCTTCGATTCTATTGGCTCTAACGGTCAGAAGGGTGTGTCAACGATCCAAATCGAGCAAGGGAAGCCAGAGATATGGAAAAAAAAACATTTTCACCCAAATCACCTCAGAGGTGGGGTGGTTTTGGCTAAACCTCTCTAAAAAGGTCAAATGTCACTTGTTTTCCATCAATCTTGATACAGGGTACTTATTATATGTTGTACTTTGGATTCCTAAAGCTTTTAGTCTACTAACCCATCATCCAAGGGTAGTTTTCACTATCTGTAAAAAAATAATTTTTGGACGGACACTATAATTTACAGTTTTTTACTATGTAAAATCTGAATTTTCTTTAAAATAAAAAACATTTATATTGATTCTGACACTTCTACATCCAACTCACAGGTTTATCATTACTTTGAGAACAAAGATTATTAATTTAACCCTTTTAGAAGGGAAGATATGGTCATTTGTTCTGGGAATGTCATTTTCGAGCCTGAGACCTGAAAAACAGGCTCAGAGTGGAACAGGTTAATGATTTATTTCAATGCAAGCAGACTACGTATGGAAACTTTGCTTCTTTTGAATATGTGGCCCTTCAGCTGAAATGCTCCTCTCGAGCTCTGTTCCTAAACATCTACAGACCACCCAAATACTGTGCAAGCTTTTTAGATGATTTTACCGAATTGCTGTCTATACTGTGTATTGACTTTGACCGTTTAGTCATTGTTGGTGATTTTAATATCCATGTTGACAACCCCCAGGACAGAGGGGCTAAAGAACTGTGTTGTGTTCTTGATAACTATGAACTGACTCAGCATGTGGCGGAGCCCACGCACAATAAGGGGCACACTCTGGACTTCATTACCTCAAAGGGTCTGAACATCTCAAAGGTTGTGGTGACTGATGTTGCACTCTCTGATCATTCCTGTGTTTTCTTTGAGAGCTCTATTTCCGTCCATACAGTTTTTAAGAAAGAGGTAACCACTAGACGTCACTTATCTGAAAATGCAGAGGAAATGTTTGTTCAGAATTTTTCTTCCTCAATTGCCCCTGCTAACGTCTCAGTAAATGAGCTAGTTGACCATTTTAATTCTAAAATAACAAATGTCATGGATACCACTGCTCCCATTAAAATAAAGGAAGTATCTGGCAAGAAAATATCTCCTTGTAGAAAAGCCATGACCATGAGAACAGCAAAAACAGAGTGTAGAAAAGCTGAACGCAGGTGGAGAAAAACCTCTATAAAGACTGCATCTATAATCAGGAAATCAAAATTACCCGACAGTCTTTCCTCTCTGACATCATTACCAAAAACAACGCACGTGCCTTATTTGCTACCGTCGACAGACTAACTAACCCCCCAGTGTCAGTAGCCTCTGAATTTCTATCCACCAGGGCCTGCAATGACTTTGCCTCCTTCACTGACACAATTCAGAAAATCAGACAAGCAGTCAGTGCCTCTGCATCAGGTACAGCAAATGTTTTGTCTCTGTGTCTAATTAAAATCAATTCAAACACCATGACACAATTCCATCCAAAGACCTAGAGGACATTATTCAACTTCTAAAATCCTCCTCCTGCTGCCTTGATATTATTCCATGGCCTCAGATCTACTTCGTATAGTAAACAAGTGTCTTCACTCAGGTGTTTTTCCACAGGCCCTGAAAACTGCAGTCATTAAACTGCTCTTAAAAAAGCATAATCTAGACGCTTCCGTAATTAATAATTATAGGCCAATATCAAACCTTCCATTTTTAGGCAAAATGATTGAAAAAGTTGTTTTTCAACATTTCATGCTTTTAAATGACGGTTTTGATGTGTTGCAGTCAGGCTTTCGACCAAACCACAGCACTGAGACTGCTCTTGTTAGAGTCTTAAATGACATCCACTTAAACACAGACAGTGGCAGAATATCAGTGTTAGTTTTATTAGATCTCAGCGCTACGTTTGATACTGTTGACCACAACATATTGCTAGACCGACTGGAAAACTGGGTGGGAGTTTCGGCAACAGTTCTAATTTGGTTTGGTTCCTACTTAAAGGACAAAAAAAACGTTGTCTCAATAGGCAACTACACATCAGCGTTGACAAATATGACATGCGGGGTTCCTCAAGGCTCCATCTTAGGACCTCGGCTTTTTAATATCTATATGCTACCACTGGCTCAAATTATGAAAAACAATGACCTAAGTTATTATATCTATGCAGCAAAGAAGGAAAGATTGAAAGTTATCGCAGAGCTTCAGTCGGCAGACTACAAAACAACGAATAAAGCTAGAAATCTAGGTGTAGTGATGGACTCAGACCTGAATTTCAACAGTCACATTACAACAGTCATTAAGTCTGAATACTATCAGCTGAAGAACATATCTAGGATTAAAAGACTAATTTCACAGCAGAAAGCAGAAAAGCTTGTCCATGCTTTCATCTTCAGTAGACTCGAATACTGCAATAGTGTCTTCACAGGTCTCACTAAAAAATACATTGGAAGGCTGCAGCTGATTCAGAACGCTGCTGCTCGAGTCCTCACAAACACTAAAAGAGTGGATCACATCAGTCCAGTACTGAAGTCTTTACACTGGCTTCCTGTCTGCCAAATAATTGATTTTAAAATACTATTGCTGGTTTTTAAAACACTAAATAGTTTAGGACCAAATTATATTAACGATCTCCTGCAAAAGTATGAACCATCCAGCAGTCTCAGGTCTTCTGGGTCGGGTCTGCTCTCTGTACAAGAGTCAGAACTAAACATGGAGAAGCAGTGTATAGTTGTTATGCCCCAACCATCTGGAACAAACTCCCTGAATCCTGCAGGTCGGCTGCAACTGTTACTACTTTTAAATTCACACCGCAGCGGCGCCGCCTCTTAGCTCCGGAATCCGGTTCGTTTCCAGCTCCAAAAAATTGTCGGTCTAGAAGCAAGAGCTCCGGAGCTAAGAGAAGGCGCCGCTTACGTCGAGGCGTGCAGGAAACTAAACCCACCTCCCCTGAACATGGGTCGACTGAAGAGTCTCGTCATGCCTGCCTACAAGCAGTAGCGCTGAGCAAAGTGACTAGAAGGCAACCACACACTTATAAAAAAAACACACTTTATAAAGTCAGGCAACACTAACCAGGCTTCGTGTGATTCTGTTTCTTTGTACCTTACTTTGACCATCCGTTCGCTGTTATTGATCATTGTGGAGAGCAGGCAGACTTTTGTTTGTTATTATAGCAGCTATCGGATGGAATCAATACATGGTTACATACAGGTTGTCATGTCCGACTATCACAAGTAGAATCATAATGAAAAATACGCCGGTAAAATGTGCCTGTAGAAAACGGCTTAGCAAGTAGTCAGTTTAGCTTCGGTTGCTATGCTAACATCACCCATGTTATACCAGAGAAACTTTCATAACAGCGTTGTGATGCCAAACAGCGTCAATTCAGACTGACACACATTCACTTAAGGGGAACTGGGGATATGTATCAGCTGCTTGTGTGACAGTCAGACAGTGAATACTTTAGAGCCGTGTGAGCTAACCCGGAGCTAACGGGAGAATAAACTCCCGTGGAAGAGCAGCCAGCACTGCAGCGGTCGCTAAATGCCGCTGAAACACATTAATAAACAATGAGTGCACTCTGGAGAAAAGTATAAGGTTGGAGAAGTCGTTATTTAATTTAATCTGGCTTCGTATGATTAAAAGCAACACGATCATCGACCCGACGCAGTCCCCCCCCGTTGTTGTTGTTGTTGTTGTTGTAGTGAGCGCCGTAACGCCGTTGGGGAGCAAATCAGCGATGTAAACGGTGACGTCATCAGCGGCAGCACCAGTCGGGCTCTGGGCGGTGTGAACCAGAAAAGCTCTAGCACGGAGCTAGAACGGGAAAAGCGCTGGTGTGAAAGCCGCATAACAGGGCTGGAATAGAGGGATATGAGGGATGTCTAAAATGCATGATCTATTTGTATTTTGAGCAAAACACATCAATAGGCACTTTCACACCGGAGTACTTTTCCCAGTATAGTTCCGATAGTTCTTAACTAAGTAAAACACTTCAGAGACATGTTTTGTATAGATATAGACATTTTTAAAACCTAAACAGTACGGAATTTTAAATAATCCTTTAGGGATGGTCATCATTTTGCAATCATCTTTTGTTAATAAGATTAATACATTTTGTTATTTTTCTCTTGTTTTCTCTTTTATTAGGACAATTCTGGAGAACTGGATCTGCTGAGGAAGGAGCTGCCATCCACACAGGACCCCCCGTGGTGCTGGAGAAATCTAAACAGCATCAGGGACATCATCCTCCCAAACCTCTGCTTCCTGCCGTCCAGCTGAACAGCAGCTCAGGAAGCTTCAGAGAGAAACAGTGTGTTTAACAGAGACTGAAGCACACGGAGAGACGGTGTGTTTAACAGAGACTGAAGCACACAGAGAAACGGTGTGTTTAACAGAGACTGAAGCACACGGAGAAACGGTGTGTTTAACAGAGACTGAAGCACACTGAGAAACAGTGTGTTTAACAGAGACTGAAGCACACGGAGAAACAGTGTGTCTAACAGGAAGTGGTGATTTAGTAAACATGAGTGTTGTGCTGCTCTCGTTGGTGAAGCAGCGACTCACTGCGGCTGCTGAAGACATCTTTGTTCTGTTTGAAAGAACGATAGCAGAGTACGAGGAGGAACTGTCTCGTTCAAAACAGGAGAACGAGAGACACCGGAAACTACTGGACGCTGTTTTACAGCCTCAGCTTCAGATCCACAGAGCAGGTCTGTTCCCTCTTTATTCACTCTCTCTTTATAAATAGGAACTCACATTGTGGTATAACCGGCGAGAGAGAAGGCCTTTGAGCTCCATACAGAAATAATCCTTGTTCTAATAATCCTTGCGTTTCATCACCGCAGCATTTTAGACAGTATCTGCCAGGTCCCGCATGAGCCGGCATGAGCTCCGCCCCCTCTTATTTGTTATTTTTTTCAGTTTAAAAAAAAAAAGCATTTTTTATTTAGCCTTTATTTATACAGGTGAACATCTCATTCAGACACAGGATCACATTCTCAAGAGAGACCTGTTTGTACCCAGAATCAGCACTTTTGTAACAGGAAGTGAAATAGAGGGATATGAGGCATGGCTAGATTGGGTGATCTGTTTGGTTGTTTGACCAAAACACTTCATAGACATGTTTTTTATATTTTTTATATATCTGAGACCTATGCTATTGCCTAAAAATAGCATGATAGGTGACCTTTAAAGCTGCTGAGTCATATATTGCACCTCAAACAACAGAGTTACGGTTTCTTTACTTCCTCTACAGAAAGAAGGACAGTGAAAGAAACTGATTCAGAAATCTCATTCCTCCAGTCAGACAGTGGGCGTAGCTGTAACCACCTGCACAGGCCTAGTCTGTCACTTTATTTGACCAAACACGTGTGTACGAAGTATACTGAACGAATATAACGTTAAACATAAAAAATTGAGAACGTGAACAACTTTTTGGAAGTAATCTCAGGTGCTGCGTCGCAGCGTTCAGTGTAATTTGCTCACATTGGGTTCAACGCGTCATAGAGCGACCAAGTCATTTCATTGGACGAGAGGCATACTATGAGAGCTGGTCACAGGGATGCGTTCAAATTTAGTCAGGAATTTGAGGAACTGTCGAAATGGCGAACGCAGATAAAGTTGAGCTCGAAAATCCTCCAGCATCATTGAAGTCTCCGGTTTGGGAACATTTTGGTTTCGCAGTTACGTACAAGGATGACGGACAAAGACAGGTGGACCGAACCAAAGCTGTTTGTCGGCATTTTTCAACTAAAATTAGTTACGCGGCTGCAGTGGCGGTTCTAGAACATTTTACATGGGGTGGCAAAGGGGGGGCAAGAGGTCATGCCAGGGTGGCATGGGAAGGCCGACAGTACGTGGTATTTTATACTGTATATATAACCTTTATTGTTAAATCATACCCTAACACAAGTGTTCTTAATGCACGAGAGAAACAAGGTGTTCAGACAAACAAAATCAAATATAGTATAAAACAGCAGAAAATACTCATGATACCCTAGAATTCTGCTTACTGTAAGTACAGTAAAAGTACTTATAATTAAGTACACAAATGACATCACCCATCTCTTAAAGGTCCCATGTCATGGCAATTTCTACTGATCATAATTCCATTGTTGAGGTCTACTAAAATAGATTTATATTGTGCAATTTTCCAAACTCACATTGGTTTCTCATACAGCATCTCTGTATAGTATGAGGGGCCGTACAGGCCGTAATTCATACTGGTCCTCTCACGCACATACATTCTCCTTTTACATACATACATTTTCACTCTCACACACGTATATATTTACACTCACACATTCATACATTCTGCTCTCATATTATCATATTTCAATGCACACATTCATACATTGTCACTCACACATTTATACGTTTTTCACTCACACATTTTTACATTTTGTTCTCATATTCATATATTTTAATGCTCATATTTATACATTTTGCTCTCATGCACATTCATTCAATGTTTACATTTAATATTATAAATAATATATGCATGTATGAAGACAATATATGTATGCAAGAGAAGAATGATGTATGTATGAAGACAATATATGTATGCAAGAGAAGAATACATGTATGTGTGAGAGAAAGTATAGTGGAAACGGAAGGAGTATGGTTGAAACGGAAGGCAGGTCATTATCGCGCTGTCCGGCAGTGGCTCAGTCAGTAGGGGCTTGGACTGGGAGCCGTAGGGTCGCTGGTTCAAGTCCCCGACCAGACCTAAATATGGAGTGTGGACTTCTACTTGGAGAGGTCCCAGTTCACCTCCTGCCCTGCCGTGGTGCCCTTGAGCAAGGCACCGGACACCCCCCTTCCCCCCCACTCCCATTGCTCCCCGGGCGCTGTACAATAGCTGCCCACTGCTCCTAGTACTAGACTCCTGGTACTAGGATGGGTTAAAAGCAGAGGCCAAATTTCACTGTGTGTGCTGTGTGCTCTGCATGTGTGACCATTAAAGAGGGTTTCATCCCTCCCTATTCTTCTTCTGATTGGCTCAGAAGGTCGAGCGGGGCGGGCTCATGTTCAGAACTTCTGATTCAAATCAACATGATGGAGGGAGGTGAATCCGTGTATCTACGGACCATTTTTTTTTTTTATTAAACAAGTAAACTGAAGAGTGTCTGCGAGGCGTTTTTGCTTTTTGTTTTTTACCTTACTAAATGGTCTAATGGTCATTGTAGCGAGGGGGGGGGGGAGGGGGAGCCGCGAAACTCGCGGAAGTGATTTCAAAACAAAAGCACTCCTTTGCTTGGAACGTTGATAATATTATAAACGAGGGGAAACAAGGTGAATTTAGCAATCACAACGAAAACGGCCAAGACACACATTGAGCCCAGAAAATGAATGTTATTAAGGACTGTAAATATAATAAGTCTATGTCTAAAATGGACAACATTGTTAGGAGATTTAAACTATACAGCGGTTCTGCACTGCCGTCACTCCACGTTGTTTTTTCAAATCAGCTGCTCTTCATTTTTTACTTTTCACCGTACTTTTCGCGTTTAGTTCCGTTAGTACCCCTTATGTCGCGTTCACACCAAAAAGAGTACTTAATCTCGGGAACTTTTACCCCCATTTTTAGTGCCCGCTGAGAGATCGTACTTTCCTGGGGAAAAAATTGCCCCAGTGCTGATTGGCTGGGCGAATTGCAAACCACGCCCCATACAACTGTGAAACTGTTGTGTAGAGCCGCCATTGTTTTTCCTCGCTACAAAAACCCAGCGCACCGACGGAGAGTAGTTTGTTTTTGAAAGCAGTTATGGCAAGCATAAAGAAATCATCGGAGCGGTGGAGTGATGAGGAGGTGTCGGCGCTTCTGGAGATCTACGCCGAGGACGCGACCCAGGGAATGCTACTGAAGCCAGTTCAGTAGCTTTCACTCGACCTGGGAATCGTGCACAGTGCCACGGCATACCGGCTAAAAATAAAGAAACTCAGGCAGGACTACAAACGGCGGATTCAGTGGCCAACGATGACGACCACGACGAAGGTAAAATCAACTACATGCACTGGGGTTTTAATCTGCACAATAATGGTCTCAGATGTACTTTTATTTGCTCAGTAGATCAAGCTAGCCATGCTAGGCTGAAATGGCTAACACCGGCCCCAAGCTAGCTACATCTAGCTAGCTAGATATTCTCGGCCGCTATGAAAACGTTTTGACTTGTGAATAACTGTGCAGTGTTTCTGTAATTTGCTTCACTAACTCATGGCACTAATCATCTGTTTCAGGCGAGGATGGACAACTCTCGGGATTGGAAACAAGCAAGCTTTCCCTTCCAGATCACAGCGCTTGGTCGTCCCCCTTACCAGCAACCAAACGCAAAGGTACACACACTGTAACTTGGTCTTGAAAGAACGTTACGCATCGAACTGATGTTCACAATCATGTTTATTTCCTTCTTGGTACAATTATGAAACAGCGTGAAAACGTATTCGCCTAGACCGGCATTTACAAATGTTCGCGCCTTTTTACTCTCTCACAAACATTGTAAACATCCGGGCTAGAGGTCACATGACTTCCGGTAAGAAAACTTGCCTCAACAAAATTAAACAAAGTTCAAGCATACATGAAGCACTCTTCAAAAATACAAAACAATAAAGAAGGGCACTTTGAGCGGCAGCTACACACACACACACACACACACACACACACACACACACACACACACACACACTCAGTGTGTGTGTGTGTGTGTGTATATATATTTTATGCTATTTGCTCCTATATTATCTTCTACTATACCCCTGCATTGTGTACACTGTCTTGTCCCGGCCTGCACCCTGTCCAATGTTGACTAGTAAACACATTCCTAGTATGTTGTAAAACTACATGGCGACTAAACAGATCTTGTATCTTGCTTATTTTCCCTCTTAGGAAAGCGGGCACAGGATGTGAATTTCTTTGACACCGTCCAGGCGTTGGAGGACCGGCGTGCCGTGGTGAAAGAGTCGATGCACAGGGATCAGATGGTGCTGTTCACCAAGGCCCAGGAAACGGAGGACAAGATGCTCACCAGTTCATTTTATATTATTGTTATTACTGTTATTATATAGTCTTGATACAACTGACACTTTATTTTATATTGATAATGTTAACTTACATGTACAACTTCTATTTTATTTACATTAAAAATGTGAACTTCTATTTACTGTTAAACAGATCCTGTATCTTGCTTATTTCTCCTGACACTTTATCTTTAGTGACCTGTGTAGCATCCTATACATCACATGTAAGTGATTATTCTGATACCATCATGTTTCATCGGTTATAAACTGGCCAAGCTTTATTTGTCATTTATCATCAATGTTGCAACCTTGTGGAGGAATGGCAGGGGCACATACACAAATATGATAATTTATATCATTTTAAATATTATTTGACCTAAAACTAAATGTTTTTATGATTGTCCTCTGAGGAGGACATGGGGATTTGCAAACTTTTAATTCCCCCCCCATTTTACACAACACAAAATGGAGTCCACTATGGGCCGAAACTAACATGTATGTTTCCATAGTGTTTATGGCAGACGGATGCAGTGGGTCTCAGGAAGATATATATAATAAAGGTGGGTTTGCTGCTGAGCCTATTTACTGTGCATACAACACACCTGGCACAGTTTATTGTTATTATATTGCCACACTGTACACTATTGTAATGTTGCCTGTCTTGACTGGAAAATAAAAGAGAGAAACAAAAGCACTGTACAAAAGATCAGCTTTATTGTCAAAATGTTTACAATGTACAGTTTACACGCTGTTCAGATGCCTCATAAGGGCTGTGCGCGTGGCTGGCCCATCAAGCTGGGTCGCCGGTAAGGCAGTCCATTCGTCCCTGTACTCATTACTTTCACGAAGGTTATGTAATATGCAACATGCTGCCACCTGGAATTGTGATCTTGTCCATCTTGCAGTCGTTTCTTTTCATCAAGCACCGCCACCTGCCCTTCAGTCTGCCAAAAGCGTTCTCCACCACCACTCGTGCTCGGCTTGTTTTGTTATTGTACGCAAGTTGCTCAGGCTGCATTAACTCAGTTACAAAGCTGTATAACATGAGCACAAACAGCACAACTTCAGTCGACTCCATCTCCATCATGTCTGAGGTCGGAAGGTAAACAACAGACGCCTAATGTACAGCGAGTGGGTGGGCGTCGCAGTATACGCGGGAAGTTTTTCTTCTTCTTCTTCTCTTGTTTTGCAGCGGATTGCAAACAACTTTAAGGTGCATACCGCCACCTACTGTACTCGCCGTGAAGTGGTTTGTGGCCTGCCAGTAAAGCCAAAGCAGAAGAAGAAGAAGTGACGTCAGCGGCTCATTTGCGTAATCTTCCCTCAGGGAAAAGTACTCCGGTGTGAACGCGATCTGTACTAAGTGCCCTGGGGTAAAAAGCGCCGGGGCACTGAGTGCCGGAACTAAGTAGAGGAAAGTACTTGGTGTGAACGCGGCTATTGTGTGCGCAATATACTCATTGTTGTTTACAGTACATGTATATCATTAACTTTAAACTATTTATTTTTTACTTTTGTCAGTTATGAATCAATAACAACTAGGCCTCCTCCAGACATTGACCTGGTGGACCCTGAATAAGCCTGTTATTACCAACTCTGTTTATTAACTACTTTACCTGCATTATTATCCAAATCTGAGTGTCTTCTCTTTCCTTTTTAAATACTAAATCAAATATAATTGTGATGTGATACATGATATTCATTCACTTTGATGACATGGCACATTTAGACTGTTGGAAGTGAGGAACTGATTTTTTCTAAAAGCTTTGTCTGCCAAAATATAGTTATTTACCTGCTCGTTTGCATGCTGTCTGTGAACTTCTCGACTAATGAAGACGGGGTCGATGTTCACGTGTGGAATGATCTGGTGGAACAATGCCAGGACAGAACAGAAAGCCTCGTCTTCAAGCATCCTCACAAAGCCACCAGCCTCTCTGACAGTTACAGGATCAAAGTTCACAGAGTCCTCCCTGATGGTCTGTAAACACTTTAGGAGGTCATCCTTTTGCTCATACTGGGGCTGTTTCTCAATAGCGAGTAAAGCTGCTTCAGAGCCACTATTTCAAGCATACTACGTCATCGAGTGCCGCCGAAGTACTGTTCCAATCTCTAGCATACTTGGAAATCTACCGAGCCCGGCGTACTCCGTTTGGAGAAATATCGAGGCTGCACATGAGTAGACTCCGCGGTCTTAAAATCCCCACAATGCTTTGTGCACGGACCAATTTCCCCAAATCTGTGGCGGAAGATGTAAGAGGCGGGGCCTCTCATATGACGCACACTTGCTAGCGTGTTCCACTCTTCGTTTTCCGAATGCCAGGAAGTATTCTTGACTCGCTTCTGAAGCAAGATGCTCGGCAGACATGTGTTACCAAGCAAGCGTACTCGCGATTGAGAAACACCCACAGTGTTTACTGCACGACTGTGGAAGCCACCGTGTTGTAGAAGCTCTGGGGAGTCTTTGCGCCACCACTTGGTCAAGCACTGCGGTTCGCTTGGGTGACCTGGAGAAGAAGGCAGAAAATCCACCAATGTCTGGAAAGAAGTGCCAATTCTGGGGATGTGTGATGTTGCCTGCTTCATTATGAGGTTCAGCTGATGCGCATAGCAGTGCACGTAGTGTGCATTCCCGTAGACATCCATTACCGTGCTCTGGTGTTCTCATGCTTCCTCACTTTCTCAGACAGGTGCTTCATATCCCTCACTCCAGTTGTTGTCCATGCTGCATCTGTCCCCGTTGTTTTAAAAACCAAGCAAGGAAGGCAGAATAAGGCATTAGCATGACTGCATCCAGCCAGGCTTCTGGTGTACCAGCTACGAGAGAAGCCTCGCACATACGGCTTCCATTTGTCACTTGCCTGCTGTTTGATAGCAATATCAGGTTGATCTGCTCTTTCACCGGAAGTTTGTCCGCCAAACGTCTTCTCTCAAACATAACAGTCATACAAAACACATTTTTATTTTGTTTTGCTGCGATTCTTCTTTCTGTCTCTTTTCATGCACCACATATACTAAAGCAAATTCCTCGTAAATGTAAACACACCTTGTAAATATGACCGATTCTGAATCTGATAAATATGTGTTTTCTGTTTCCTGCAGACGTCCAGCAGCTGGTGGTGGTTAAAGAAGAGGTTCCCCCTGAGCAGCAGGAGTGGAGGTCCAGTCTGGACCAGGAGGACCCAGAGCCCCCCCCACACATTAAAGAGGAACAGGAGGAACACTGGAGCAGTCAGGAGGGAGAGCAGCTTCAAGGGCTGGAGGAGGCTGATATCACCAAGTCCACATTCACTCCTGTCCCTGTGAAGAGTGAAGATGATGAAGAGGAACCTCAGTCCTCTCAGCTTCATCAAAGACAAACTGAACACCTGGAAACAGAAGCTGATGGAGAGGACTGTGGAGGACCAGAACCAGCCAGGAACTCAGATCCAGAGAGACATTTACAACCTGAGACTGAGGACAACCCTGGAGACTCTTCTGAAGACAGTGCTGATTGGAAGGAGACCAGAGAACCAGGATCAAACTCTCAAGTAAATAAAGAAGACCCTGTCAGTGATTCAAGACGTAGTGCAGGAGAGAAACGATTCAGCTGCTCAGTCTGTGAGAAAACATTTGCACGGAAAGGATCTTTACATCGACACATGAGAAACCACACAGGAGAGAAACCATTCAGCTGCTCAGTCTGTGAGAAATCTTTTGCAGTGAAAGGATCTTTACATCGACACATGAGAATACACACAGGAAAGAAACCATTCAGCTGCTCAGTCTGTGAGAAATCTTTTGCACAGAAAGGATCTTTACATCGACACATGAGAATACACACAGGAAAGAAATCATTCAGCTGCTCAGTCTGTGAGAAATCTTTTAAACAAATAGGACAATTAAATGAACACACGAAAATCCATACAGGAGAGAAACCACTCAGCTGCTCAGTCTGTGAGAGATATTTTGCAGGGAGAGGAAATTTAAATCGGCACATGGCAATACACACAGGAGAGAAACCGTTCAGCTGCTCAGTCTGTGAGAAAACATTCCCACGGAAAGAATCTTTACATCGACACATGAGAAACCACACAGGAGAGAAACCATTCGGCTGCTCAGTCTGTAATAAATCTTTTACACATAGGGGAAGTTTAAAGTGCCACATGAGAAACCACACAGGAGAGAAACCATTCAGCTGCTCAGTCTGTAAGAAATATTTTACACAAAAGAGACATTTAAGGACACACAGAAGAATCCACACAGGAGAGAAACCATACAGATGCAGTGTCTGTGACAAAAGATTCACCTGGAGTTGTCAGGTCAAAATCCATAAGTGTGTTGGTCGTCAGTCCTCACAGCTTCATCAAACTCAGACTGAGGAGAACAGAGAGGCAGAGCCTCCAGCCAGCAGCTCAGCTGAACACCTGGAAACAGAAGCTTATGGAGAGGACTCTGGGGGACCAGAACCAGCCAGGAACTCAGATCCAGAGAGACATTTACAACCAGAGACTGAGGACAACCCTGGAGACTCTTCTGAACCTGACATTTTCCAAGTCAAATCTTATTTGGCAGACTGGAAGCCAGTGTATTGATCTCAGAACCGGACTGATGTGATCCACTTTTCTAGTGTCAGTGAGAACTCGAGCAGCAGCGTTCTGAATCAGCTGCAGCTTTCTGATAGATTTTTTAGTGAGCCCTGTGAAGACACTATTGCAGTAGTCGAGTCTACTGAAAATAAAAGCATGGACAAGTTTTTCTAAATCCTGTTGCGACATTAGTCTTTTAATCCTTGATATATTCTTCAGCTGGTAGTATGCAGACCTAATAGCTGTTGTAATGTGACTGTTAAAATGCAGGTCCATACACTACACCCAGATTTCTTGCTTTGTGAGTTACTTTATAGTCTGCCGACTGAAGCTCTGTGATTACTTTTAATCGGTCCTTCTTTGCTTCAAAAACAATGATCTCAGTTTTTTGTTTGTTCAATTGGAGAAAGTTCTGAGTCATCCAGTCAGTGATGTGCTCAATGCACTTGCTCAGTGTTCTAATCGGAGAGTAGTCTCCCGGTGTAATTTTAAAATAAATCTGGGTGTCGTCTGCATAGATGTGATAGCTTAGATCGCTCTTTTTAATAATTTCAGCCAGAGGTAGCATATACATATTAAAAAGCAAAGGTCCTAAGATGGAGCCTTGAGGAACCCCGCATGACATATTCATCACGGTTGATTTGTAATTGCCTATTGAGACAACGTTTGTTCTGTCCTTTAAGTAGGAACTAAACCAGTTTAGAGCTGTTGCTGAAACTCCCACCCAGTTTTCTAGACGGTCTAGCAATATGTTGTGGTCAACAGTAACAAAGGCAGCGCTGAGATCTAATAATACTAACACTGATATTATGCCACTGTCTGTGTTTAAATTAATGTCATTTAAGACCTGAACAAGTGAAGTTTCAGTGCTGTGGTTAGGCGAAAGCCCGACTGAAACACATCAAAACCGTTAGTTAGAAACATGAAATTACTCAACTGTTGAAAAACAGCTTTTTCAATCAATTTGCTTAAAAAGGGAAGGTTTGATATTGGCCTGTAGTTATTCATTATGGTTGCGTCTAGGTTATGCTTTTTTAGGAGCGGTTTAATTATTGCAGTTTTCAGGGCCTGTGGAAATACACCTGATTGAAGAGACTTGTTTACTATAGGCGCGTTCACACCAAGTACTTTTCCTACAATAGTTCATGAGAACTTTAGTTCATGAGAACTCTTTTAGTTCTGATGAACTAAAGCAGATCGCGTTCACAGCAAAATGAGTTCCTGGGGGTGGATTAGGCAAATGAAGCCGCTGACGTCACTTCTTCTTCTTCTGCTTTGGGTTTACTGGCAGGCCGCAAACAACTTCACGGCGAGTACAGTAGGTGGCGGTATGCACCTTAAAGTTGCAATCCGCCAAAAAACCGAGAGAAGAAGAAGAAGAAAAACTTCCCGCGTATACTGCCACGCCCACCTGCTGTATATATAGGCGTCTGTTTACCTTCCGACCTCAGACATGAGCTTCGTCTGAGTCATTTAAGCAAACACAAATACAGATCGTCGACCAAATGCAATAGCAATGCTGATTCGGAGGCGAAGGCGGTTAAGAAGGATTGACAAAAGGATTGGACGACGACATGCACGCGCTATGGATTGCGTACCCTGTGTGAAATGAATAAACTGTGCCAGGTGTGTCGTATGCACAATAAATAGGCTCAGCAGTTAACACACTTTTATTATATATCCTCCTGAGAGCAGCTGTATTTACACCATAACGGTGCACAGCTGATAGAAAGGGACACCTACTTGTTAAAGCACGTTATTGCATTTTATAATTTTATTATTATTATTATTGTTTTCAGTTTTGGCGGCAGTTTCTGTTTGTCTAGAAGTGTTCTCATCAGGGCTCTATAAATAGAGTTAACTACGGCAGATATGTAATATTTAATGGGGATGGACGGTCACATTGCCTTTAACAGCCTCCGACACAAACGAATGCCGTGCTTCCATGAGCGTCAAATCCCGCCGCAGATGGGAATACATTGCAACCAGTTGAAAGCTATTTGCGTCTGTTTATGAAGCTGAAGGAGCCTAGGAGCGTCCCAACTGCACGCCTCGGGACCCTGACCAAGCGTCGCTCCTGGACGTTTATGGAGTGAGAGTGTGTTGCCCTATGAGCCCAACATTTTGGGAAAAAGTCAGAATTTGGAGAATTATTATTGTAGAGATTCTATGTATTGTCGAGAGGAAGGGGAGGCACACGAGACCCAACAATGCAGACGAGCTGAAGGCCGCTAGTGAAACAACCTGGGCTTCATCACACCTCAGCAGTGCCACAGACTGATAGTCTCCATGCCACGCCGCATTGATGCAGTTATTCATGCTAAAGGAGGTCCAACCAAGTACTGATAGCAGGAACATTAACATACTTTTCAGAAGGACAGCATTTCTGTATTAAAAAATCTCTTTTGTATTGGTCTTATGTATTATTAAAATGTTCTGGGATGCTGAATTTTGGCTTTCATTTAATCATCAAGATTAAAACAAATAAACGCTGGAAATAATTCACTTTGTGTGTGATGAATCTATGTGATGTATACGTTTCAACTTTATAAATTGAATTGCTGATATTAACTCACTTTTCCATGATATTCAATTTATTGAGATGCACCTGTATGAGTCCAAGTACAGGTTTAGCAAGGCGGTGAGAGATGCTAAACGACTACTCTGAGAAACTCCAACACCAGTTCTCAGCTAACGACTCTGCAGACAGGTCACAAACTATAAGGCTAAGGCCTCACACTCCGTGAACGGCCGACGCCTTGCTAAGCGGCAGTGAAACTACGTTTTAGACCGGCGACAGTACTAACTCACCTGTTGTCCTGAAACTCTCCAGGGCATCTGGAAAAAATGTGCAATTGACACACTATTAAAACAATAGGCACGCATTTAAAATAAGTAATAGATAAAGGCTGCAAAGTTAAAGAAGGTGCTCTCTGTGTTGCATGGCTATATATAATTGGGAAAAGAGTGCCACATCATCCCTCAACATTGAGATCTGCCCTGCCTGCTTGGTCTTGGTCCTGGGCATCTAAAGAGAGGCAGTGAGTTATTTTTGATGGGCTCATGAATGGAGTGTGTGCAGTCCCTGATCACTGTCTTATGGTACTTGTTGTACTGATCTCTGCCCACTGATTCCACTTTACGGACTGTGTTAACAACAGACTCGTCAATGATATTCTGTGTGTCCAGCATTAGAAGATCGGGGGTATCATCTAGGAACGGATTGCTCATCCCACTGATGGTGTGCACCTGAGCTAGTGCTTGCTCTTTGAATGTCTTCTGTGTAGACGTTCCTTCTTCATGGTGGTGTTGTTTAATGCCTTTTTCTAAAATATACTCCTGCTCAAACTCTTTTAGGAATCGTGCTTGTTCAGGCCCTGCGATCATCCACTTTTTGAAGGCTGAGGGGTTCTTGGTGAGTCCCACAGCACCCCCAGAACCCTTGACCAGATCATTATACTGCTCATGAGCCTGGTATATCGGTATGCTTCAGAATCTGTTTGTGGTTTTGGGAACAACCCAATGACCATGTTCTTCAAATTCCTTGTGAATGGACATGGATGTGGACAGGAATCCATCGGGCATAGTTCTAGTGATCAAGGGCAAAGAACCATGGGACGAGGGCCTTCAGTGACTCCACATAGAGGGGGAAATCTTGTTCTCTGTGGGCCCGCACAAATATCAGACCCAGAATTTCCATGTTGAGGATGGTATCCCAGTAGTGGAATGTTGGACTCTTGGTGATCATATCTTGTCTCCGAGCTTCTTTGGTCACCATCAGGGTTTGTACGGTCATTGAAAACCTGGAAAAGTCATGGAAATTCAAAATGCAAATTCCAGGCCCTGGAAAAGTTATGGAAAACAATATTTTTCCCAAAGTTTTGGAAAAGTCATGGAAATGTAACTAAAGTTGCGTCAAATATAATTTACATTTTATCTAATCGCCTAAATAATCTGCGGTCGCGAGCTGTTATGTGCCATCATGACACGCATGGTGTTATTTTGTAATATATGAAGCGCGAGCTGTGTGCTCGAGTCTTCCTGCCTGTCGGGCCGGCTGAACTCTGCTGCTCCGGGATGAGGGTCAGCTACATTATCTACAGTGCGTTCGTTAACAGTAACTCTGCAGAGTCACTGTGACACAGACTGCACCACTGGTGAATTTTTCGATCAGCTTGAGTGAATGCTCAATCCAACATCTCTCTTTCATAAGTGCTCTACCCAGGTGTCCCTCAAAAGCTTTAATCTGATTGGGTGTCTGGGGAACAGCCACATTGGCCTTCTTGAGTACAACCGCCAGCACAGTGGTGAAGTTGTCAGACAACCGATGATTCTTCGTTTCTGGTGATGGCATGTGTTTCCCATCCTGGAAGTGTCCCACGTTGGACTTGGAGGTGAACTGAAAGAGACTGATGCCTGTGCCATGGAAGGAGCCTTTAGCTGTGGTACTTGATGGGTTATGATCAAGGTTGTCTAGGGCGCTCACGGTGGAGAGCCCTTTACGTAGCTGAGCAGGACACACAACAGCATTCTTCGCAATGTTCTCACAGGTAGCAGTAGCCAGTTAATTCTCCATTTCGACAACCCGATCATAGCTTACACTGATGCCCAACTCATACAGCTGTCCAATCAATTTCTTTGACCTTGTCTGCATGTGCACACTGAGTCCCATGTAAAGGGGCAAGGGTGGTTTATAATCCAGTGAATGTCGAGATTTGCCAGTTAGGGCCCTCTTCTTACAGTTAAACAGGATGGTCTGTGAGACAGTAAGGCAGGCCTGGGAGTCAGCAGAGCGCTGATCATTAAGGTCGGCTCCAACCAGTATCATGGTCACCAGGTACTTTAGATGGGGATGGAGTTCTGCTGGCATTCAGAGGGGAATGATGCATTACATTTGAACTCATTGGTGTCAAATATAACACCCCGCATAATTTTGGCAGCCTAGGCCAGAATCAGTGCATCCTCTTCATAGTCCAACTTCAAAGCCTGCTCAAGCATTTAAAACATTCACTCCATCACTCTGCTCCTGTGCTTGAGGAAAGAACTTTAGGAT